ATCTGTAAAAAAAAAGAAATCTGAGAAAAGTCAACAAAAAAAAAAGATAAAAAAAAATTAAGCCACTAGGTCATGAAATCTGAAAAAATCACAGAATTAACGATAACTTCTAAACTACGAAAAATCGTAGAACATACATGGGGGTGAAATCGATAGGTCTAGTCCTCACCTATCACCTGCCTTCGGCTTGACACCTTACAAGAAACACCCTGTATAAAAATGAAACCCGTTTTCCGTTGTCACGACATAACATGAAAACGGCTTGACCGATTTGGCTGATTTTTTTTTGTAGTTTTCTAATACTCTGTACAAGGTTTTTACGGAAAAAAATATAAAGAAAATCTCTACGCTAAGGCGGTACAAAGTTCGCCGGGTCAGCTAGTTATTGATAAAAATTGTGTATTTGCGTAAAATAAGACACATTAATTGCGTTTAATCGCGGTTGGGGGAGGATGCGCATTCCACGGACCGGCAAATAGCGCGAACGGGTAGTATCTGTGCTTGCCAGCAGGGCGTCAACGAGGCGGCTGTAATGGTAGACTCACGGACAACAACAGGCGATGTATGGCGAGCAGGTTCTGCTTGACGAAGGGCGGCGTGGGGCTGCAGCACGCGCTGACGCCCTGCAGCTCGCGCGGCAGCGACTCCGCCAGCGCCACCAGCATGTGGTTGGGCAGCAGGTACCTGCAGACCACAGCCGTCAACGTACCAGCAGCCGGACAAACCAGAGCGAGTTTGATACCAGTGTTTGTAAGGCCCAGAACACACGGTGAAACGCAATTGCAACGAAACTGCAATTTCTAGTTACTTGAGAGACCACACATGACGCGACCATTTCAAACCGGTTTCAAGCTGGTCGCGTCATGTGTGGTCTCTCAACGGAATCTATGGCAGAAACTTAGATGTAACTCAAAAGTAACTAGAAGTTGCAGTTTCGTTGCAATGAGGGTTTTCGCGAATGAAAGATCCGCTAGATGGCGGGACGTGGATGTGGGGTGTGACTGCTGCGTGATTGGTGGATTTTGACATATCTGTCAATGTCATGTCAAAAATAACCAATCATGCAGCATTTGGACCTCGCGTCTACGTATTGCCATCTGGCGGATTTTTCATTCGCGAAAACCCTCAATGCGTGTCACCGTGTATTATGGGTCTTACTCGTTGGGAAAAAAAATCTCATCCAGTCACATCCTTACTCGTTAAACTGTATTTTCTTACTGTAAGCTTTAGATTATGTACTTGATTTTGCACAGTTTCTTTATAATGAAATCTCTTATATCCTTATATAAAGGTATTTAATATGTGTGATCAGTACTAGTGTGACTGGATGGTAATTTTTTTGCCAATGAGTAACAGTGTTACAACAGGGCAATTCATACAAATACAAAAGATAAAATACACGGAATGACTGTATTCCTGCGTATTCGAAATATGGGTTAATGAAAGTCGCAGCCCCAGACAACGCTTGCTGACACAGCGTCGGGTCTAGTTTCCATCAAGGGGGAGCGGAGTGGAGATGTGTTTTGAATAGACAATCAAATTTTATTATTTCCACATCTCTTCTCAGTTCAGCCCTGATCAGTCGTCGCTGTCAAATTCTATAAAAAAATGAGTACACCCAACACATCTCCTCTCTTCCCCGTATCCTTCACCATGGTAGAAACCGGATCTAACGGGAAACTTCTGGTCAAAACATGAAATAAAATACTTGGTAACATAATGTGTGAACACTCACGTCGTGCTCTCGTCGAGCTCGCGCGCGTGCGCGTCGCGCCACTTGTACAGCAGCTGCAGCGCCGCCATCTGCTGCGAGTTGAACTTCTTGCGCGAGCGCACGTACAGCGCCAGGTGGCTGTCGTCGCGCACCGCCTCCTTGTTGTACGTCTGCGGGCACACAATCAACATCAAAAATATTTATTAACCATTCATGTAAGCCACTATACAAGTCTTTGAACATCCTACCATTACCCTGTCTATATTACTTGAAGCGGCAAAACTAGTTAAACAAAACCCCTATCTTTTCAAAAAAGCCATGACGTTTTCCCACGTAATACTAGGAATTGCAATAGACTAGTCCTTGAGTTCATCCCAAAAAGTACTCGTATCCTAAAAAACTGTTTCTGCATGTGTGTCCAAATCTATAATAAGCTTTCTCAAGATATTAAAGAACTGTCCTTTAATCGGTTTAAGACCACATTGCAAAAATGGCTTGTCGCGCGATTATTCTACTCTCTCCAAGAATTTTTAAGCTATAGGGAATAATCAGCAAAAAGTATCTAATACATATATAAGTAAAATTAATATTTCTACGATATATTTGCATGCTATTGTTGATGGCTGGATAGGTGATCATATTTTTTTATTATCGACCTTCTGTACACCCTATTCAAAGACAAATAAATATTTCTATTTCTATTTCTAAGGGTATTTTTATATGTATCTTAAATTTGTTTATTGGCAATTCGACAAGGTTGTGTCGTATTTTGTTAAATATGGTAATACATTTCCCCAAGAATGAATTACCTATTTTATGCAACTTAAAAGATGGAACAGCAAGACACACACACACGCTCAAGCGGCGTCCGCGCTGCAACTTGCGGCTGACGAATCAACTGCAACTTGAACTTCTCGGCGGGAAAGTGAAGCATCATGTTTGACATTTTTGTATTTTTTAATAAATTGTCAATTATTCAACAGTCAATGAACTGGCATCGAAACTGGTAGGCACAGGAAGTATCACACACTCCAGATTGAAACGACATATGCTGGATTTCTATATTCAATCCTCCAAATTATACGGATTTGGATAGTCAACTGTCAAATTTTAATATGTTTTTGGCTAAAATATCTGTGGTTTTTGATGTTTTTACATTTTTATATTGTTTATAAGACTATTTAAACAATATTAAAGTGTAAATGCATCGAAAATTTTGGAAATATAATCTAAATCTGAATTAAATTTGAAAGTTGTAATCCGGATTTGGACAAGGATTGAATATGGGAAACGGGCGATAGTGTCCCTACACTTACAGTGAGATTTATAGGAATTTCCTTTGCTGACAAGACAAGACACGATCAAGATACCTCATCTAAATGGCTTATTGTGTTAACTAAGATTGCCAAATTGCAGTACTCATAATAAAAAAAATATATATTCAACCAAGATTGGGTGTTGGTAAGTAAAATAAATGAAAAGCAACACCACTTCAAATTCTCTCAAGAAGTTCGCGTAAGCTGCACATTTATAGTGAAATTCGAGGGACATGGTCAAACATACTTTTTGTTAATATCGTAGTTTCGCGTTGGTCAATTATGTTCATAGTGGTCGGTCACTTAAAGCAAAAATGTAGTGTGCTGTGTGTGAGCTTATGTACAGGACTATTCCTACCTCTCGTTCCCAAATTTTTCTTTGTCACGACAAGATCGGATCGGAAACAGATGTATGTTGTATTGAATTGAGCATTGTATTACGTTCATGTTTCCAAAGATCACACTCCCACAAGATATGATGGGCAGACTGCTCATGACTGACTTCATCAGTGGAACACTCGCAAAAAGGAGACTAGAACTAGTTTGAATTCGTGAAGTTTATGTTTAAAGTTGCCATGCCCCGTGAGGAACTGCGACGAGCAATGGTCGATTTCTAACCATCGCCTAGTTAGACGTTCGCGTACATTCGGGAAGAATTTATATAAGTGACGTCCTTTGATTGACGTATTCAATCTTTTTTGACACTCATTAAGTAATTCCTCTTCAACGACTTCTCGGGAATCAAATAATCGGCTTATTTTAGAACGAGCGTGAGCGCACGTAACGTGTGTACAGTGTACTGACCGCGCCGCACAGCTGGCGGGAGGCGTCGAGCACGGCCAGCAGCAGGCGCGGCGAGGCGGCGCGCGCGCGCAGCTCGCGGCGCAGGCGGCGCGCCACGTACAGCAGGTAGTGCGTGTCGCCGCGCGCGTACGCCACCAGCTCCGCCGGCAGCGGCCGGATGCGCCAGTCGGCTAGCTGGAACCTGCCCGCCGAAAAACACAAGTTTAAAATCCATTTTTTTTTATTTGCAGACTATTTTAGGCCAGAATCGACCAAACTTTTATCCGAGAATAACTCACGGTATAACTGACACATTGAAGGTTCGGTCAAACCAACGCGATCACACGCGATCAGCCGGCGAACAGCGATAGCAATCAGACTTAAATGCATTGGTCGCCATCGCTGCACGCTGGCTGATCGCGTGTGATCGCGTTGGTTTGGCTGAACCTTGACAGTATTATTGTATGTGTATTCATAAGACATATTATACTATACTTACTATTACTTTGCACGTATATAAACTGTTGCATCATGTTAAATAAACCAGTATTTATCCATCAATCGTCTTGTTACTATCTCAACCTCATATGGCGACCGTGACAGGACTCCGCGGCCGGTGTTTACAAATTCCTTAATCCATATAAGGACGCGCGCTCCACGATGCATTTACAATATTGCATTCAACCTTTGTACTCGACGAGATTAACAGTTCTACTTGTTTCAATTAATTATCAACATGGGTTCAAGTCAAACTAAAGACGACGTCATTAAAGTCAAAGTCAAAGTCAAAATTTCTTTATTTGTTTGGACTAATAAATAGTTCTTACAAATCGTCATTTTGCTCTTAAGGAGCCTCTACATGTCTCATAATCTTTTTACCCTACCAACGCTTCGAGACCAACATTTGGCAATGCTGAGAAGAAGCGCCGCAACAAACTCAATCACCACACTATCCGCCGTTATCGTAAGATACACAGTAAAACATGCCTTCAGACAACTCTAAAACATTATCCATATAAATTGCCATTCAAATATGTAAACCTTCGCGGCTCCGCGCTAACTGACCACCGACCCTTGTCACAGGATAGTTTTTGTCCCAGTACAAAAATGCACATCTCGCAATCGCAATGCAGTTCTTTTAATAAAGTTGTAAATAAAGGAATGTTGTTAAACCGATTAATTTATAACCGTCTATATAACGACATCGTCATAAATATAATTAGTTAATTAACGACATTTATTATGAACTAGCTGACCCGGCGAACTTTGTTCCGCCTTAATGGCAATAAATAAGCAGACTTTTTTTTTAATTTCGAACGGGATAAAAAGTATCCTATGTCCTTCTCCTGGCTCTAAACTACCTCCCTGACAATTTTCAGCTAAATCGGTTCAGCCGTTCTTGAGTTATAAGTGGAGTAACTAACACGACTTTCTTTTATATACAGTGTGAGTCACGTTAAAGTGTACATATGAAAATAGATGAAACTAGACCTATTTTTATCGACAAAAAAGAGGTCAAAAAATTTTTGAGATTTTTTTTTAATTTTTTATAGAATTTTTTTTCTTCAAATTACTTATTGTAAAGAAAACGTAATAACTTTTAAACTAAGCGGTATANGGAAAAAATTATCAAATAACCAAAAAAACACGAATATTTAAGCGGATTTTTTTCAAAAAGTATAATTTTTTTATTATTTGTTGGCCTTTCTTGTGTATTTTATGTATTTTTTTAGTATTGCCTGTTATTTAGCATTATTACTGTTTTTATTTTATCAAGATATACCGCTTAGTTTAAAAGTTATTATGTTTTCTTTACAATAAGTAATTGGAAGAAAAAAAATTCTATAAAAAATTAAAAAAAAAATCTAAAAAATTTTTTAACCTCTTTTTTGTCGATAAAAATAGGTCTAGTTTCATCTATTTTCATATGTACACTTTAACGTGACTCACACTGTATATAGATTGGGAGAATTGTATTCAAGATATAAAGCATTGTAAGGAACTTAAAATACACCAAACTACAATAAACGCATATTATCTTTGTATTTATGCAATCAACTATTATTTCGAAATATGTTATAGTTGATACCACCAACCAACTGACTTGCTTTTATGAGCCCACAAGCCGATGCCGCGCCGTCAATATTTTTTTAACTAATTCGACAAAACAAGGATGATAATAATGTTGTTTTTTAATAAAATGTAGATAATATAGTAAATGGTATAAAATACCCAATTTAATGTTTGTTTACACATATTTAACACCATAAGAAAGCTTCTCTATCTTCTTTTTCTTATACTCTGGTTACATGCCATAAGCTATACAGTTTTATAGGATAGAGAAGCTATCGTAAGCAAAATTCTTGCTCCGTTTTGGAAAGAAAATTAAAGTTCGCTGCAGCTTCTGCACAGGTTCTGTCGTCTAACCAACTTAAAACATGCAGAGCTAGATCACTTACAATGTCAAATTCGCACTAAGATATAGTGTTCGGATCGCGACATCTAGAGCGTAGCAAAAAAAAATGTCTGTCGACGTAGCAAGAAGAAACACCTAAAATGTACGGATTACGGAAATTTTGTACCTACCTTGCTACTCCAATAACGCATTACTTCTTAATTACCTACAATATAGCTAGATCAAAGCAACGCATTTTTGTAATATCTTTTTTGAAAAAAATATACATGACAAATCACATGTTTAAATAAACAAATAAATTAAAATTGCGACATCTCACTTGTGAATTCGATACCTCAAATTAAACAAAGAGAACTGATAACTGACCACCAACCTTTACAGACCTCCACATCTTAACATCCGAACACGTAAGGCGTCACGTGAAAAGCTAACACCGTACAGAATCTAAAAGAAAATATTAATTTTATATATTGAATTAAAATCGTCGACTTTTAAAACAAAATTTGAAACGAAAACATTAACGAATCACTACAGGACCTGAGATAATCTCTTCCCTACGCGCTCGCACTGACTGGGCCGCTACCCTTCGCGATTTATTCTATGCACTCTTTGTTACTCCCCAAATTGATCATGCGAAATAATACCAAAATGACGGCCATTATTGTTGCAGACTGACCCCTTCGCGACGCAACGGGTTGCGATTCGGAGCCGCCTCTGCTGACCTTGGAAGTTTTATTACTGCAAATCCAGACAAATTGTAGGGAGCACGCCAATCTCGAAACATGTTTGCAAAAACATAACCGAGTAAGTAACAGTAGGGTAGTTCGACACCGATTGAATTCAAGGCACTATTCCCCATGTTCTTATTCCTAGGAGTATTGGTAACAGCTCATGAAAACTGTGTATTATAATTTGAATGGTGTTGTCAACAATCTCAATTCTCAGTTTTGTTATGGATTCAAACTGTGGTCAGTTCAGTCTGCACATATTAGATGTACTTAAATTTGGCTATTCTTACCGTTAGATAATTCCTGGCAATAAGTGGTGACTGAGTTTGTTCCGGCGTTTCTTCTCAGCACTTGCCATATGTTTGTCTCGAAGCGCTGGTAGGGCCCAAAAGATAAGGAGACGTCATGTAAAGTGCCCTATAAGGGCTACCTTTTTTATATTTGACGTTCATAGGTGCCACTTGTGGTCTAAACTGAATATTTTTTTTTTATTTGGTGTGTTATCTTACTGATTTTTTTTTGTGTGTCTTTATATAGATTCACCATTTGTAAAAAGCATAACTGTTTCTTCAAGGATGAACATTTACTTAAGTTTTTACAAAGGCTGCTTTATCAGTTTATCACCAAGGAAGTGCAAAGCTGCATTGCGAGGTGTGCGTTTTCAAGCACCAATGGAACCACTCTATTTTTGCCTATTACACATACGAGTATTTATTATTTAGGTCCAGCGCTGCTCTAGTGGAACGGCTTAGCGACTTTTTTGTGCATGTCAAAAATGATAAGCACGATAATGATGACAGGCGATGACGTTAGCGAGGGATGCGTGCGAGGGGCGTGTTACCTAGCAACAGACTAATTAATTGCTTAATTGAAAATAGCCCCCTACGCATGTTACGGCTCAGCTTGCTAATACATACTACCTGGTGAAAAGAGATTCGCTACGCTTCCTCGCACCGCTCATTTTAGCAACTCTTAGGGAGAAGCAGTGTTAAGAATCCCCGCAGACAATAGACTTTTGTCGGCCGATAATATAATAAGTGACTACATTGCACATTGCATCGATTTTGTGCCAATTCATCATGCAAATTAGAAGCTGGCCTAACTACCGGCTGACATAGTGTGCTGTCTGTCAATGTTCGAATTAATCGAGTAATTTAGTCGAGTGGCGAATAACAACTGTCTACAGTATTTTTGCGCACGGGTTATGCATAGCTTATTTTTATTGCTTTATAACCTAGAAACAAGAATAACCACAAAAAATTGTTCTGAATTTGCTTTTATGTGTAAAAAATAGAAAAATTCATATCAATGAATGTATGAAACATGAACATAGAGATGATTTAATTTGTTGCCAAATATTTTTCTTTCTTTCTTCTTTCATTCTTTCTAATTATTAAAACATAACAAACATCCATTTAAGATTCATTCTCACAAGAGAAAAATTAAAATAGAGTCCAAATATTTATTAAAAATGAAAAGTTCTAATTTCCTGTCATGTTCCATAGAAGATTTTTTTCATAAAAATCTAACCCTATCATGCTTTCAGTATACTGGCCTTGGTAACGTCGTTTCTCAAATTCCACTATATTTTAATGAAAGCGTGCCCCTTGTTCTTGCGAATAAGCCCCCATAATTATTTATAAATATATCCCAATGAGAATGTGACGTGCATCTTGAGAGACATTCTACTATGAAGATGGAAAATTCAAATCGCTATAACTTCTTAAAAAGCAAATATTTTCGATTTGTAATCGCACTTTTTTATATACATTTGCTTATATAATCAGAATATAATAAGTAAAATCCATGCGCAAAAAAAAAATTTTTTTTGTGGACCGGTGTAATTTAGTAGCTAAACAGTCAGTAGCGAAGTTCAGTTACTAAGGCTGCGTTTCCACCAGAGATGTGCGAGGATGCGTAACGAAGGATGCGTTTTTAAAGAACCAACAGAATCGCCTCTGTTACCGTCGGTAAATAAAGCGATTCTGCTGGTTCTTTACAAACACATTCCTCGGTACGAATCCTCGCACATCTCTGCTGGAAACTCAGCCTAAAGGCTCATTACTTGACTAGTGCGAACAAGGCTTGACCCGCCCGCATGTAGTGCGAGTAGTGTGGTGGACTGGTGGTGCACTCACTTCTTGTCGGCGGACACGTTGCAGTAGTGCGCCAGCAGCCCCTTGAGCGACAGCAGCGGCAGGCCGAGCGCGGCGTGTGGAGCATGTGGTGTGCTGGTGTGGTGGTGTGGTGTGCACTCACTTCTTGTCGGCGGACACGTTGCAGTAGTGCGCCAGCAGCCCCTTGAGCGACAGCAGCGGCAGGCCGAGCGCGGCGTGTGGAGCATGTGGTGTGCTGGTGTGGTGGTGTGGTGTGCACTCACTTCTTGTCGGCGGACACGTTGCAGTAGTGCGCCAGCAGCCCCTTGAGCGACAGCAGCGGCAGGCCGAGCGCGGCGTGTGGAGCATGTGGTGTGCTGGTGTGGTGGTGTGGTGTGCACTCACTTCTTGTCGGCGGACACGTTGCAGTAGTGCGCCAGCAGCCCCTTGAGCGACAGCAGCGGCAGGCCGAGCGCGGCGTGTGGAGCATGTGGTGTGCTGGTGTGGTGGTGTGGTGTGCACTCACTTCTTGTCGGCGGACACGTTGCAGTAGTGCGCCAGCAGCCCCTTGAGCGACAGCAGCGGCAGGCCGAGCGCGGCGTGTGGAGCATGTGGTGTGCTGGTGTGGTGGTGTGGTGTGCACTCACTTCTTGTCGGCGGACACGTTGCAGTAGTGCGCCAGCAGCCCCTTGAGCGACAGCAGCGGCAGGCCGAGCGCGGCGTGTGGAGCATGTGGTGTGCTGGTGTGGTGGTGTGGTGTGCACTCACTTCTTGTCGGCGGACACGTTGCAGTAGTGCGCCAGCAGCCCCTTGAGCGACAGCAGCGGCAGGCCGAGCGCGGCGTGTGGAGCATGTGGTGTGCTGGTGTGGTGGTGTGGTGTGCACTCACTTCTTGTCGGCGGACACGTTGCAGTAGTGCGCCAGCAGCCCCTTGAGCGACAGCAGCGGCAGGCCGAGCGCGGCGTGTGGAGCATGTGGTGTGCTGGTGTGGTGGTGTGGTGTGCACTCACTTCTTGTCGGCGGACACGTTGCAGTAGTGCGCCAGCAGCCCCTTGAGCGACAGCAGCGGCAGGCCGAGCGCGGCGTGTGGAGCATGTGGTGTGCTGGTGTGGTGGTGTGGTGTGCACTCACTTCTTGTCGGCGGACACGTTGCAGTAGTGCGCCAGCAGCCCCTTGAGCGACAGCAGCGGCAGGCCGAGCGCGCGCGCGGCGCGGTGCGTGTCGAACAGCCCCACCACGTACACGCCGAAGTCGCGCTGCAGCCACAGCACGTCGCTCTCCGCGCCGTGGAACACCTGCAAGAACAGTTCCTAGCGTTAAGAGTCACATCTCAAACTAAATTTTAAAAGAGGAGTTGCAAAAATGCCCCTTGCTGAATGCCTCCGACTGCAACGAAAAGTATCTCAAAAATAGCTGAAAATTATTATGAAATAATGATATACTTTCGGTGATCATCCTTACTGGCTAACTGTCGTAAATACCTGAATCGTTATTTGGAATTTGTTATGGATATAAAAATTGTGTTGTTTATCTTTCTTTTGAGACGTTTTACTCAGCTGTCGGACGTGGGGTACTTTTCTATAGAAGTTGCAACTTCTCCTTTGTCTCTTATTCGATACTAAAAAAACTTGAACAATATCGAATTGTCGCCTTTTGCTTTCAGCACGTCATCAAGCAGTTATACAATCATGTCCACGCGTCACAACGGATCTTCACAATGCATGCCACTGTCAGTATCAACAACAATCAATCAACTAATTGGCACAGGGGGCATTTTCATCATTTCGCCCCTCACCGATTCGCAATTATAGCCCGACCAGGAACATAAAAACCCTCGCCATGTTGCGGAAAACTAATGGTACTAATTTCTTTTAATGGCAACAGTAACTGAAAACTTCATTGACATGTCACCTCGCATGTCAGTCTATTGCTGTCAAAGTGTAAACAAACTTTATTTTAAATGTGCGCAATTGATTTTGTGAATTAAATTGCTAAAATCTTTTTATAGTCGTGAAAGAAAAGTGGTTCACAATGTGTTAAAGTATTTGTCGAAGAGAAATACTAAGGGTTCGGACAATATTTTCATTGAATAATGTTTCCGACAAAGGTTGTCAAATTGACTGACATGTTTATCGAAGACACTGAGAGGTAAATAAGTAGTTAATATTATTCATGATAATTCATGCTAAATCATGTATTTCCTCCGCCATTTTCCGCAGTTTGGCACCTCACGTCACATCATTTTACCGAAGTCAGCCCTATAGCTTCGGCGCAGTGCCGATCACTGACGTTTGTCAACAAAATGGTGCTTGACTCTTGAGACAGGCTAAATTACACCATATTGTTAATGACATTGAGCATACATTTTTTTAAATACCTTCGCTTAGTAAAACTTCTGTACGTAGTACTTAATTATTATTCTGTGATAGGAGTTCGAAATTAAGGTTCGACTTCCCTCCATTGCAAAGCGGACAAAGGTTTGAAACCTTTAAGAAAAGATATCTGTTAGTGTGCCTGACCTTGAGCTTGGTGGGGTCCGTGAAGATGACGTTGAGCTTGTGCACGTGCTCGCGCGCCGCCAGCGCGTCCACGATGAAGTCGCCGCCCTCGTCCGTCGAGATCTGGATGAGGCACGTGATTCCTGCGGGAAACGCTCCGTCAATACATTGTCACTTGTGTTACTGCTTCACTTCTACTACTTCAGTCGTTCGTATCAGCCAAATGACGTCCACTGCTGGACAAAGGCTTCCCCCAAGAATTTTCATGACGACCGGTCCTGTGGTGCCCGTCACTACTACTACTTTAGTAAGGTATATTTTGCTTACTATTTAGCAAATCAGCTTTATAACAGTGCTTTGTGAAACAATAAAGACATCACTCACTACAACAAGCGAGTCTAATCCGATGTGTCTCTAAGGCCTAGAACAGACGGTGAAACGCAACTGCAACGAAACTGCAACTGCTAGTTACTTTTGAATTGCATCTAAGTGTCTGCCATAGCCTCCGTTGAGAGACCACACATGACGCGACCAGTTGAAACTTTCAGTTTCATTCATCAGAATCATCACAAAGTTGCAGTTTCGTTGCAGTTGCGTTTCACCGTCTGTTCTGGGCCTAACTAATAAGTATTTGTGGCCCCGACAGTAGAGAATAGAGGGAAGATGGTAATGGGAGGCACATCAGGAGTATGGATGTTCATAAAGTAAGCATGTGTAGTTGATAACAATAGTTCTATATTTGGACACCAGAGCTTACTTAATTGGACACTAGAGAAGCCATATCATCTTGAGATAAACTTTACATAAACAGGTGTTCTTTGACCTTAAGGGACAATCGCAGTTTCAATTGACTACTATCAGTCATCGTCGAACGTGACGCCGCGCCAGCCAGCCGTAGGTGGCGCTGCTGTCTGAGGCTGCAGGCACGTACTGCTAGCGCGGTCACGTTCTAAATACAGCACGTATTATTTGCTTTGCGCGATATTGCTTTGTTTAAAGCATAATAACTAATTTCCAAATGTTGTATACTTGATTTTGAAGATGCCAAAAAACTAGACTAAGTATAAAGCAAACGATCGAAATACGACCAATAGTAACGTATAAAATATAACGATAATTTCATTGATGTTTCGGCTCAGAATTTTTAAACAAGAGTAACTCAATGGCTAAGATAGCTCCATTATTTATAAAACAAACAGAAAAAAAGGTCAGAATTTGAGTAATATTTTAATACACCACAGTTGAAAACTAATAATCATAAACAGTATTCATTCACAAATACACTGTTATTTTTATTTTTATCTGGAGTTCGAGGGTTGTTTGTCAACATTTTTTGGAAATGATTACTTCCCTAGCATCCCGCAGACTATAGATACGGTCGTTCAAATAAACAGGGACTGATAGCGGCCCGCAGAAGAAAGCGAATCCGCGGCCTCGCGATAAGATAACGCGGCATTGGCGCGCGCCGCATACTAACAGCCTTCTTATGTTTCAAGGAGCATCGCATACATCAACCTATACTTTTCCTAATTTCGACGCTTCATTGCAATCGAAGGTAGCAATGTTTTATACAGTATAGTGTTGGTACAAGGTCTTGTTTCGACTTACTAGTGTAATCCAGTATATTGTAATGTTTAAAAAGAAATTGTAATATGCATGTTATTGAAAGTAGGTCACGTTTGTCGTTCATTATCAAAGTCTTATGTCTTTTCGCTAAAGGAGGCCGACCAACGGACGCGTGTGTTCCGATGGGAAGCGTTCACCGCCATAATTTTATGGACATCACACGATCCTCGTTTTGCCTCGATAATAATATATATTCGTTATCCCAGTAAATGAAAAGATAATATCAGATTTCCAATAGCAACAGACGGCAGTTGGTCGACTGTCAGCTTAAAAAGTAGTCTATAGAATGTTTTATAAACGGTACTGTTGATTTGTTCCCCTTTTTACATCTTATTTAAGATAGAGAACAACAATAGGCCGAACGAGTTAAGTTCTGATATGAACATGTGCCTAAAGAAACGGTCTTTGTGCGGCCTCCCCTCGGCGCCGGCTGCGGACGCAGCCAGCTCGCTGCAGACTCGCCGCGCGGACATGCTTGCAATGAGGGCTATCGTTTTAGCGCTCACCAGTTAGCGCCACTGTAGAGTAAGGTCCTGTCACTTGCTATTAGCGAAGACAGTGGTACCAACTGGTGAGCGCTAAAGTGGTAGGAGGACTATCGCATTTGCACTCATCAAGATGGCGCCTCTGTAGAGTAAGGTCCTGTCAATCGCCAGGGGTGCCAACTGTTAAGTATAAAAACGATATTCCGCAACCGGTTCGAATGAGCCCTCATTCGAACCGGTTGCGGATTATGTTATCAAATTGCAGTGCTATAAAATATTAAAATTATTTTCATATACATATTATTATGTCATGTCGTTAAATTATTTCAATACAAATCTCTCATTCCACTACGCTGCCAGTGCGGGAAACTGATAGCGGCGATGTGCGTGTTAATTAGTCTCGAGGCAAGGTTTTTTTTTTTGCAAATTTTAAATGCAATTTTAAAACATTTATTAATAACTACAAGAACATTACATTCGAAAATATAAAATTACCGACTATTTATGAATTCTGCAAAATTTCTAATTAGACGTAAGTATTAGTTTTGATTTCATGTATGTAAGACCGATTATTTCCTGAACGAACAAAAAACAGACATCTTATGTACTTCTTATACAATTTAATGTGCTAATTAAAAATGTGGCTTTCGTTCGATTGAATCGAATCAAAATTTAATCATGTACAGAACAAAAACGATATTGTTATTCAGTAAACTTTACACAAAACGTTGTCACAAATAATTTGTTCTAATAAGGCTAGTACTGTATAAAGAGACTATGGACAACATCGAAGTGTCCCCGGTATGGATAATTTAGCTATTTGATGTTTCAGAGTGGTTTGACCTTATTTATAACAAATGCTGAGCCACACAGGGTTGTTGGATGTTTCTTTATTTTGAAGGTCACATCGAAGTGACTGACTGAACGAACAGCTTCATGAAACTAAAGCTGAAAGCCGAATGAGACTAAGCGTTCAGTTTAATACGAAGCCGCACAGAGCCTTGAAAAAGAAGCTGACAATAGTGACTGAGTTTCTTGCGTTGTTTTTTCTCAGCACTGGCCCATTTGTCGTCCCGAAATCGTTAGGGCTAGAGTAATACTGGGACGACCTAGGAATACCAGAATATGTATGAATTCTTGTAAAACTGCATTAATGAGCAAAAGTGTACTTGTAATGGCTCCAAAAATATTCAATAAGCTCCCTGAACCATTAAAACACTGTAACGTAGATAAATTGAAATTGATATTATCAAAATTATTAATTGACAAATGTTATTATAATGTAAATGACTACCTTGGAGATAAAGACTTATGTAATTTAAAATATTAAAAATTTTGACATTTATTAAATTTTATTTTTGACATTTATTAAATTAAATTTTTGACATTTATTAAATTTTATTTTGACATTTGTTAAATTTTTATTTTTGACATTTATTAAATTTTATTTTGACATATTTAATATTGTAATTTATAAAGAAAATAATTGTGCAGATTTAATTAATATTTCATTTCAATCGTTTTTATAAACAATATAATATTTTCTGTATGACTAACTTATCAATAATATATTAATCATTGACTAACAAAATTGTATCATTAATATTGTATTATAAAAATTGTACTACCTATCATTTCATCAATTAATATTCTGTATCTTTCAATTATTGTATGCCCATGCGGCGGAACACAGCTGATCTATTACAAACATTTTATGACCTGACTTATGTATTTACCTGTGATTTCACAATAAAAAACAATTTGAATTTGAATTTTTTGAATTTGACGTGTAAAAGTGTGTTTATAAGCCTACTTGCAAAATTAATGAATTTAAATTAGACAGACGAGGCTAAACAAAATGTCTTGAGTGCGCGCGACAAACCCTCCATCAATACCAAGCTCGGCTGGAGCGAGGTTTGGCTGCTCGCTTAGGATGACAAAGACATTTATTTGGAAAGAATAGGTTGTTACAGATAGTGTTGTAAATGCTCTAAGCAGGAAGTGGTCAGCCATTCCTTAAGCTTTCTGGTCATTTCTTTTACAGGACCTTTTTTTAATCCTTTCAGGATGTGCGGGCAGGCGGGCTTAACTTGGTAGGCGCGGTAGGAGTGGTGGACTCATCTTGGTAGGAGCGGTAGGAGTGGTGGTCTCACCTTGGTAGGAGCGGTAGGAGTGGTGGACTCACCTTGGTAGGAGCGGTAGGAGTGCTGGACTCACCTAGGTAGGAGCGGTAGGAGTGGTGGACTCACCTTGGTAGGAGCGGTAGGAGTGGTGGACTCACCTTGGTAGGAGCGGTAGGAGTGCTGGACTCACCTAGGTAGGAGCGGTAGGAGTGGTGGACTCACCTTGGTAGGAGCGGTAGGAGTGGTGGACTCACCTTGGTAGGAGCGGTAGGAGTGGTGGACTCACCTTGGTAGGAGCGGTAGGAGTGGTGGACTCACCTTGGTAGGAGCGGTAGGAGTGGTGGACTCACCTTGGTAGGAGCGGTAGGAGTGGTGGACTCACCTTGGTAGGAGCGGTAGGAGTGGTGGACTCACCTTGGTAGGAGCGGTAGGAGTGGTGGACTCACCTTGGTAGGAGCGGTAGGAGTGGTGGACTCACCTTGGTAGGAGCGGTAGGAGTGGTGGACTCACCTTGGTAGGAGCGGTAGGAGTGGTGGACTCACCTTGGTAGGAGCGGTAGGAGTGGTGGACTCACCTTGGTAGGAGCGGTAGGAGTGGTGGACTCACCTTGGTAGGAGCGGTAGGAGTGGTGGACTCACCTTGGTAGGAGCGGTAGGAGTGGTGGACTCACCTTGGTAGGAGCGGTAGGAGTGGTGGACTCACCTTGGTAGGAGCGGTAGGAGTGGTGGACTCACCTTGGTAGGAGCGGTAGGAGTGGTGGACTCACCTTGGTAGGAGCGGTAGGAGTGGTGGACTCACCTTGGTAGGAGCGGTAGGAGTGGTGGACTCACCTTGGTAGGAGCGGTAGGAGTGGTGGACTCACCTTGGTAGGAGCGGTAGGAGTGGTGGACTCACCTTGGTAGGAGCGGTAGGAGTGGTGGACTCACCTTGGTAGGAGCGGTAGGAGTGGTGGACTCACCTTGGTAGGAGCGGTAGGAGTGGTGGACTCACCTTGGTAGGAGCGGTAGGAGTGGTGGACTCACCTTGGTAGGAGCGGTAGGAGTGGTGGACTCACCTTGGTAGGAGCGGTAGGAGTGGTGGACTCACCTTGGTAGGAGCGGTAGGAGTGGTGGACTCACCTTGGTACGAGCGGTATGAGTGGTGGACTCACCTTGGTAGGAGCGGTAGGAGTGGTGGACTCACCTTGGTACGAGCGGTAGGAGTGGTGCTCCAGGTCGACGGCCAGCTCGCGCACGGAGCCCAGGTGCGCGACGAGCCGGTCCAGCTGCTCGGCGGTCTCCACGAGCGTCAGCCGCGTGTCCTCGGGCGGCGGAGGGAACGCGGGAGCCTCGGGCTCCGGCTCCAGCAGCCAGCTCGGCGGCTGGTACAGCTCCAGCTCCACTTTGTACGGGTGCTCGTATCTAAACACAAACGCAAAATACATTTAATATTATACAATACGGCGACCAGCACGATTAATGTCGGCTGCACCACTACTTCCTACTAATATTACAAATGCGAAAGTTTGTGTGGATGTCTGGACATTTGTGCTCTTTCACGCCAAAGCTACTCAAAAGATTATTATTTATTGTCTATACATGAAAATAATTATAGGCTATATTTTAAAAAGCAAGTAATACAATACGGTGACACCACGATTCACGTCGTCTATCTACACTACAAATTGTTTGTTACATCTAAATTAATCATGGGCGTATTGGTACCCATAAGATAGCCCCTGCATCGTAGCTGGATAAGTATGAAAAATTGATAAATGATCAATTGAATGTAAGTAAGAGACCTAATTATTGTTAATGCTTTATCTACATTTAACCTTGATGTGTGAATTTTACCTAATGTCCTCAAGCAAGAAAAACAAGCATTGAGCAATGCCTTTATGTCACTTTAGTATTCTTACTTCGTAATTACATATTAGTATTTTTCCCTTTTTCGCTCATTACATAAAAAATACAAGTAAGTTTTTATAGTTAGCGACGAAATGAACGGAACAAAATAGAATACGTAAAGCTTCAAAGGTATGAGGATATTATTTGCATATCCCTGTGTTTATAAACGAGCGGCTGTGTGTCGCGGAGCAGTCTAGTTGTAAACACTTCAATATAACGAGGCGCGCTCCGCTTGACCCCGCGCAGACACAAGCCGCGCCAGCTGCAAACAACGCGGCCCTTTAGTGCCAGCCCTCGTCCTTGACCAGGATTATCTCTGGACACCCCTTTAATCAACTCTTTACAACTTTATTAAATCTATATTCTATACTCGTATAACTTTTTTTATTATGTAGACTTCGCGATCTTTTTTAGGGTATTTAGGGTATGCCATTGCCAGCTTTGGTTGTGTGAAATTCAGTTTGTCACAGAAGGACTTACTTGACACGATATCAAGAGGGATGTTTCCTGTGTGAAAAAGCAAGTTTAAATTAGTCCGTCAAAATGTCATCAAAAAATACTCGAAACGTATTTTTCACTTATTCAAACTACTGAAAATTGAAAGAGATAAACCGTGCCAAAGTTCAAAATGACCGATGACCGATGAGGCCCGTGACGTCAAGAAATGCTTAAAAGTATATCACTTTGTGACGTCACACGGAACATCAACGCATCATAACTTCGTAATTACTTGTTTGATTAACAAGTAAAATATATGTGTTAAATATTATTTGAAGCTATAATTGACGGACTAAAAGTATTTTTTTAAAACTAGCCTATTAATTGTCATCCAAAAAATTAAGTAAGGATAAAATGGCAAAGGTCCAGATTGGTTTAACTTGGTTTATAAATGGTAGCGACGGTAACCGTACGCAAACTTACTTAGATAAGTATTATAATATTAATTAATTAAGGGCCAGATCGGTAAATTCTGACCGCGCGCTTACAGGCGAGTTGAATGCATAGTACTTCGTCCATCAATGTCCTTCTACTATTAAATATGAATACTAAAAAATGCTATATTTTATTGATTCATCTAGGAGGCAATTTGGCAACTTATAATTTTATTTCTTCAAAGCCAGCAACTTTTAAAATAGTTGTATTTTAATTGAATTGAACAATGAGCTATGTAAAAAAAACTAATTATTATCTGATAGCACGACCGACTAATCTAGGGCTAAGAAGGCGCGAGTCTCGCAGAAAATACGAAGCAGTTTGCGAACAATTCGATTGTTGACGACCCAAATGTATGTTTCTCGATATGTGTCCATTCAATCTAAATGATTAGCATCGACAACGCATTTCAGCGTCAAGTCAATGTAAATGATTGGACGCATCTCAGCATCAATAAAACCTTAGTTCTGAAATGAATTTAGACTTTGTGCGCAGTGCTCGCTCCGCTTCAATCTGGGCCGTTAATTAGTTTAGATTGGCGCAGTCCGTCCGTCCGCGTCACCGCGCCAATTGCCTGGGAGACGGATCAATTCCCTAAGAGGGGACTACATTGCCGCACTGCACTACTTTGTAGTCACATACGCTTAATCAAGAACATACTATGCTGCATGAAGTTGTTAACAATGTACTGTCTTCATTCTCAATGTCGCTTATTAGCATATCAATCGTGAACGACAAGCGATATAAAGGACACTGAATATAATTCCTCTTTTATAGTACGCTTAACCCCTGTCGAAGTATTATGTGTAAGTAGGTTTTGATTGACAAAGTATTTTCCTTTATTGCCTCAGTAACAAATGGTTCTCATTGACACAAAGCCGTGAAGTAGAGAGGTTGAAAGCGAAGAACTCACCCGACGGCTTCTCCGTTCTCGTTGTAGAGGATGTTGAGCGCCAGCGGCTTGATGTTGTTGGGCTTGTCGGAGATCTTGGGCACCCACAGGCTGTCGGAGTTGTCCACCGGCTCTTTGAACAGCAGCTGCGGCCGCGGGATGTTCTTGGCGCCGATGAACATGGTCGATCCCACCTGCCAACACTCGAGCAATGAGTTCCTGCATCAACTTCAGTGGCCTTTGATTTCTTAGACACGTCATATACAAAGTTTCGTGACATCGTGAGCACATCGAGTTGGCAAAACCTTAACGGCATTTGCAGTATTTTTATTTTTCACCTAAGATGATATTTGTGACGTTTCGAGTTTAATAATTATAGATTTTGACCTATTGGAAATATTATCGATTTCGAAAAGATGATGATGATTTGAGTCAATAGAGACAAACGGGCATGACGAAACTATAAAGGATTCCTTCGGAACCTATGCCTATTTACCACATTTTACCACATAAATTACCACATAAATTTTACCACATAAATTATCACATTTATACCTACGGTATAAATGTGATAATTTATGTGGTAAAATAAAATTTAAAAAATCTAACTACATAATAATTATTGTTTCTATTATTCGTCTGTTTCAGATGAAAATGTACTCCCATCAGTACTCGAATAAGAAGAATACAGTAGTTGTACTCGAATAAGAGTTCTTTTTACTATATTTTACTTTAAAATGAGTATTTCTCAAAAAAAATGTACATTTTGAAAAAAAAAAGTGTGCTTTGAAACAGTTGAAAAGTTTTATATTTATAAATCATCACACAAAAAAAACACACACACAATTTTGAAGGATGAATATTAATCTTTAAGATAACGAAGAATTATACCTGTAATCCTACTTATTACCAAATANATTGTATAGTAACTTTTTGTTTAAGAAAGAAAATACTACAGTAAAAGAATATTAGTAATTTTTATTGAACACATTACTAATAGTCCTGTTAACCACTCGTACTCAGAAAAATAAGCTTGTGTTACGAATGGGTTCACCACATCACGAATTCACGATAGTCCAGCGGCGGGGTTCGAACCCGCGCTCCTTGGATCACGAGTCGGCCAGTTCAACACCTGCGCCGTAGGGCTATTGTCGCTTCAAATGTACCGTGACGAATTGGTTGGTTTTGGTCCTAATATGCATTATGCATCGAACATTGATGAAACAAAAACGCGGCTAGGCAGTTTGATATTTTCAAGCATAAGATACAATCGGTACTGACGAGTGAAATGGTGAAACTTGTTTCTATGACGTGGCGGCTGGTGGGTCACGGTCGACCCAGCGCGCGCGTATTCGCGTGTGGTGTGAAGGTGGTGGTGGTATAGTGGTGCTGCAGGAAGCCTGTAGCGGTCTCGAAAGGCTGCTTGCTTTGTGGGGGGATCTAGGATGGTTGGAGTAGGCTAACTGCGATGTCGATTGCCCTTCAAAGCTTACTGACTATGGTGTAAAGTCTGTTCGTCGAGAGTTGATAAAAAAAATTAAATGTCAGAGGTTCTAAACTCATTATAAATTGCGGCCCGCTAATATTTTTGTCGATATAAATAAAAGTATTTCATTATTATCAAGTGGCTTATAGTGTATCCCAATGTTGGGCAAAGCCCTACCCACTGTCATACCATTCATTTCGGTCTTATGTAAAATAAATCTATTCCGTTTCACACATTGCGGCCCGCCGACCGGGGCGCTTGACGACAGCTGCATGGCTCGTACCATGGTACTCAGTGCGCGTTGTGTCAAACGACGCCCGCCATACAGAATGCGATAATTAAGCGACAGTCGCTATTGCAAGACATTTAATAATATTTATCAGCTCTCGGCGAACAGACTTTAGTGTTGTGGTAGTGTAGTATGGTGGTGGTGGTGGTACCTCGATCTTGGCGATGACGGGCGCGGGCGGGCGCGCCAGGCCGCCCAGGAAGGCGGCGCTGGGCCGGAGCGCGCCGCTCAGCATGTCCACGTGCAGGTTGACGCGGTCGAGCATGCTGTCGTTGGCGTCCACCACCTTCTCCGTGTTGTATTCGTTGTCATTTCTGCCACAGAAGCGCCGCCGTGTTACCAACCCTTCGTACTTCACACTTCCATATCTCAATACTACTATTTTTAACTTTAAGTACTATTAGGCAGCCGATTATATGATTAAATCAAAAAATAAAGATACAAAATTAAAAATTAAAAGCAATGAAAATGGTAGATGAGTATCAAATTATGGATGACTATCTCTGAACTAAAATTCCAATTTTATTTACCTACATAAAAACTGAGATATTGTACAACTTACACTTAAAAGCACTTATATACATGTGAAAAAGAATAAAGAACTATCAAATAGTATGTTATTAATTAGATGACTCAGAACAAAAAATAATGTTATAAATGTGTGAAATAAATCAGAAAATAAAAGAAGCTATTGAACAAAGTAACTAGAAGTTTAAAAATAAATACTTCAACTCAGTATCACTAGAATCATAATTTTCTATTCAATACACTAGTATAGCATAGCATATTAATAGGAAATAAATTCGCACTGCTGAACAAATAATAAAACTTAGTTTTAGTATCTTTGTGATCCAGGAAAGTGTTTAGAAAGTCTTATGGTTATATGATAACAAAGCCTTGAAGGTTGACCAGTACATAGGACAATATTTAGTTAAATGAATATCTATGACATGGTTGGCCAGCTTGAAGGATAAATACAGTTGCACCCAAGCAGACTATGATAATAATGATTCGCAGAAGCAGAAATATACTTAGAGTGAGTTCTCTAACACTGTCAAAGCATACACAGCCAGGTCTAGAAATTACTGCTAGCTTAAATATAATCAGAAAACAATAATAGCAGTACTTACAGTTTCAACTTCACAGCTGGTAACTCTGTTACAAGTATTTGGTTTGATTGTACAACAACATTTTCACTTAATTGGCATGTGACAACGTTAAAATCTGTAAAAGTCTTGAATATGTCGTAGGAGGCACCCACTGGCATCTGGTTTGTTGATCTTATCGTTCTATGTACAGTTGTGTAGCCACCCTGGAGGCAAACATAAGTCTACATCATTATGGCATCCATCGCTGCCACTGAGGCTAGATACAGTAGTGTTTGGACTTTGGAAGCATATTTTCTGTATTTATTAATAACACTTACATGTGCTTCATCCAAATTACATACTTGTGACTCATTACAACATAGAATGTCTCCAATACTAATGCAATAACTAATGCTGAAATAAGACACCTTGACCAATCTCCTTATTTTGTTAAATCAGCAGTGGTTAAACCTTTTTCTAGAGAATGATAACAATGTGAACTTGCAAAACATTGCAACAGTAGCCAAAAGCAGCCCAAGTAGTGATAATCAAGGTGGCTATTGTTTAGACAGGTTGCGAATGGAGGTCAGCTATTGAGAGCTTCACTAATTGAATATTGGCTCAATTATTCTCTTGATTTGCTCAACAAAAACTAGAGAACTACTAAACTTCATATTATTCTGTAGACATGTAAGTTGCACCTACATCTACATGTGATTAAGGACCAAGTAAATCAGTGGTTACCTATAGTCATATTATCAGCAGCATACAATATCAGCAGACTACAGAACCTGACTGCAACCGAAGAATGGAAAGGAAGCTCGTATTATACTGTAATCAACTTCTTTTGTGAGCATATTCATGTGGAATACTATGCAGAGTCTAAGAAAGGATCGTCGACAATTTGTTCAATAAGAATGCATTGAGTCTCAACAAATAATGGCAGTGCAGGGGGTCAGTGCACCTCCCAGGGGCCGGCAGGTGCCAGACGGCTCGCCCCCTTTGTCCTGGATGCAGCACATAGCTATAGCTAGAGCACACTGTGCGCCCCTCTGCGATTCGTTCTTATCGAAGGGTACGCTCGAAGCAGCTCCCCTCATAGACTCCGCTGCACTATTTATGTACAATCAATCGCTCTCAATTGAATAATTTATTTATTCGTAAAGGAAATGACAAATCCTAACAGTAAAAACACATGCTGATTGTTGTCATTGGGGAGATAAGTCGAAAATAGAGCAGCGAACTACGCACCTGTGTTACTGTTGTCAAATGTGGGTAAAATTCTGGGGCCTCTGGGTTTAGCACGGAATTCATTTTGCAATCGATAAACTAAAACAGTAAATTATTAAAATAAATCGGACTAAACCTAATTTATCGAGTGCAAGCTGTGAAGAGTGAATGAAAAAACTAAAAATCTGTGAATGGATGACACTGCGATCGTTCAATGTTCAATCTGGTTCAATCAATGTCATGGTTTGTCGATGGTTTTGGGGCTGCCATTCTACATTTATCAAAACTACCAGAACGAATATGCTGGCAAATAGCATGTTCCCAAAGCTGACAATTCTGACAGGTATCTGACAGGAACAAGGCACAACAGCTGACATTGACATTAGATAGAATTGCTGAGCCAGCAGTCAGGGGGTGAGAATTTGAGAAAGTAGGGTTTTGGGAGGCGAGGAGGGGTGGATGTGTTTGTAAACGTGGCTGCTGTGTGGGTTACACCGCGTTGATGCTCGTTTGGCGTCGCATCGGTTCTACAAGTGAGCTATTGCGCGCTACGCGGTTGCGCAGATCGACTTCGGCTCGAGTCCCAGCCTTCTGAGTTTGCGTTGTGGCGAGAGAGCAAAGGATAGAGAATATTCGGCATTCATCGAGCGGCCCGTCGGCCTATACAGTGGTATGTATCATGTTGTCGATATTTTGTGGGACAGGCCAGGGATAGCCGGGAGCCACCTGTGTTTATATCTCCATGCATAAGTGGAGATTGTCCGCGGCCGTGGTTACACCCTCCGTCACATGAGTGCGGTTCAGCCGGGACGCTGCCATTCATTGTCATGACTTTAGAGGACCCATTCTACGTCGTCAAAGAGTAAGTGCACGGCGCGCGGCCGCGAGACTGCGCTGCAGCCGCTCGCTCGGCCGCCATGGCGGCGCATCGCCTGGACCACACATGATTCAACTTTTTCATCCCCTTTGCATTTAGGCTAACAATTTTGATAATACCTAGAGTATTTGTTTGCTCTATTTATTCCAATAATGAAGCACAATACAATAAGGCCTTGAAAGTAGGTGGAGTTAAAAGACAAACAAAATATTATAGCTATGATGCATTGTGATTAGTGTGTGGCCACTCAAATGTAAACATTTTCATATTGATTATTTTGAAACTTACTTGTTTCACTACCATTGTATTGGATATTTTTATTATTATTTCTATCATGAAGAAATAAACTGATTAAATAATTATGATTGTAAAGAAAATATTCATAAAACTCAAGTTGTCTTTCCATTTCATCTCGATGGTGATGAGAGAGATTAGCCAATGACATGTGTTTATGTGAACAGTGAGGTGTTCAAAGCATTAAACAAGACCAGGGGCCTGTACCTGCGCTGGCAGGAGATCTCCAAGGCGCCCGTCGCGCCCACCAGCCCCGAGGTGGAGTGGACCTCCACGGAGCTGAGGAATGCGCTGCGCAGCATCGAGTGGGACTTGGAGGACCTCGAGGACACCATCAATATCCTTTTATGTTTAAACTCACGTTCACATAAAGTTACTACTAGTGTTTAGCTTTTACATTGTTACTTTGTATTCAGCCTCTGCTGCTATTGCGAAATTTTATTTATTTCTTAATAATTTCATGTTATGTATGATATGTTTTAAGTAAGATCATTTGATACTACAGCTGTGTAAACGTTTACATGATGATTTCATGACATAAAACAACTCATCATTATTATTCCTTTATTTCATAGTATGATGATCTGATTTTGTTATATCTGAAGCCACGATAGCCGAATGGTGAAGGGTTCGAACTGGCCAACTCGTGATCTGGGGAACGCATGTTCGGTCCCTGTCACCGCTTGACTATTGTGGTGAGCTCACTCATGACACAAACATACAGTACGAGGGCTAACAGCATTTTATTATTGCACCAATTAAATTACTATAATCTTTAAAAAAAAATCTACTGGGTGTAGTCATGCAGCATGCAGCATAGAATAATGTATCCAATATACAACTAAGTATTTAATTAAACACATAACATGCAGGCAGCAATTCAAATTCAAACATACAAAACATTTAAGCAAGCAAGTAAATAAAACTACTTGATATCCTCTTCTTCAGTGCTGCGGGAAACGCCCGCAGATTTGTTCCTCAGCTTTTCACCAGCACTGTAGTCTTGATCTTGTATTAACCTACAATATGACTTATTTATTACAAATTCTTCAGTAAACTTAAGTTTTTACTTTGGTGTTTTGTTTTTGCATAATCACCACAACTGGAAAAAATTAAGTTAGTATTAGTATTAAAAATAACTTTAATAACGCATACTGTGTATGTTCCAGTGATAAATCAAACATTTTTCAATACTTATTTATTTTGCATAAAATAAATGTCAGCTTTGAGATTACAATAATTCCTTAACACTGTCACAAGCATTGTAGAAAAAAACTCATCGAAGTTTAAAATCGACAATAAAGAAATTTGCGACAGGAGGACTTTCATAGAAGCTACTAAGCAGGAGGTGAAGGTAAGAAAAATATGTATTTTCCCCAGTTAAATTTCCTTTCAGTAGATTTTTATATTTTGTGACAAAATTGGCACTCTCATTAGTGTGGGCGATATGTAGGCGAAGCTGGGCGGGGCCTGTACCGTGACTTGATTTTAATAGCAATTAACGTTTAGAATCTGATAAAAATAAGTAATTGTAGTTAGTCCTATCGTTAAACCGAACACTTTGATATCATAAATTCTTCTTCTTCTTGTCGTGTCGACAACAATCCTACACAGCGTCGGCCCAAAACTCCGCCACAAGAATGGCGGTGTCAGCAGCCTTCATTAAATCTTCCTGCGTGCAGTTGTTTGGGCACGCAGGGCATAACATAAATTGTAATAATAGTTGTGCTAAAATATAGGAACTTCAACAGAAAACTGCCCTAGTTGCCTATTTGTGATAAGGTACATCTGAATGGGAAGAGGGATAAACTGATTTCCAGTTTTTTATGCATAACAAGGCAGGTATTTGACCACAATCGCACCTGGGTGGTTTGAATGAGTTTACTCAACGACGTGTCGTGACGTCCGCAGGTGATGAAGACGAAGATGAGCCTGAATCGGAACCGCGACAGCGACGGCACGGCGCGCGAGCCGCTGCTGGGCGACGAGAGCCCGCCGCCCTTCGCCGGCTCGTGGACCAGCACGCCCAAGTACAGCCAGTACTCCAAGCTGGCCTCGCAGGACAGCCCGCGGCTCGAGCTGCTGGCCGCACAGCGCCGCATGCTGGGCGCGCAGGACGACCAGCTGCAGGTCATCAGCCACTCCGTGGGCTCGCTCAAGACGCTCTCCAAGCAGATCGGCAGCGAGCTCGACGACCAGGCCGTGTGAGTGCCCCGTGCCCCTCCATACAATAGGGTGTTTGCCACCCAGCAATCAATAGGCAACTTTCCTAAAAAAAAATTTTTAGTCCGTTAATTTTAATATAAAAAAATATTGGACACGTATATTAAAATTGTCAATCAAACAAATAATTACAAAATTATAATGCGTTGAAGTTCCGCGCGACGTAACAAAGTGCTGCACTTTTACGCACTCATTGACGTCACGGGCCTTTACTTTAGAACTTTGGCACGCTTTATCTCTTTACATTTTCATTAGTTTTAAAAAGTGAAAAATACGTGTTGAGTAATTTTTCATAAGCTGACGGACTAATTAAAACTCTTGCTTTTTTACCCAGGAAACATCCCTATTGATGTAATTTTTAAAACTGTCAAGACTCTCCCATAGATGTTATAATGGCAATACTAGCCAGTGACGTCACTATTTTGTCAACTCAATTAAACTACTTTTATCAATTACAATGCAACCAAAAATCTTATTTTACAGGTAATTTAACATTGATAAAGTTTAAGACCAGAGTGGTGGCAAATACCCAATAGCGCAATATTGCAAATACAATAACAACGCCCTTAGTGACTCTTCCACTCATGCTACTCTTGGTTGTCCTGCGAGAAATCTTCATATTTTATGACTTCCCAAAAAGTCTGATGTCAGTCAACCAACTATAATTTTATGTACAGTCACGGTATGAAAAGGTTCGTCAGTTTTCAAATTGATTCCTTCAAACACACGTTCGGTTCACACGACCAGTCCAAAACTGGATTACCGTGGGAACGAGCCCTTACCCGAGCAACTGAGACCTACCGGAAATAGGAGAGACTTCGAAGAAGTTTCTTACTTGATAAGAAGAATCTAGTTAAATGGTTCATGATTACGCTAACTCGTTTACAGCATGCTGGATGACCTGAACACGGAGCTGGAGAACGCCGACTCCAAGTTGGACTCCACGATAAAGAAGGTGGCCAAGGTGCTGCACATGAACAATGGTGAGTCTTACCTAAATAAGCCAGAACAATCCCAGCTTCGACTTCACCAGTTAGGCAAATTATTGAAACGTTGTAAGCAAACTCGCATCCTGAATGCACCTCGCTGCCTCTAAATCACGAAGAGTGGCGTCTCCGGCTGCAATCAATACAGTATTACCAGGCCTGTTCATCTCCGCGAGTTTACATCGAAAACAAAACACGCACGATGGCCTACCTACAGGATACTATTCGACAAGGCCTCACATACGAGCGAACATTGAATCACGCACGCGTATTCTTGTGTATGATGGAAGAAAATAAAGAAAATGGTGTACTAAATACTGTGCAATATTTAACTGCCTAAATAATAATAAAAACACAGAATGTCCTTTTTTAAGTTGCCTCAAGACACTGAGAGCTAAATAAGTAGTTAATATTATTCATGATAATTCATGCTAAATCATGTATTTCCTCCGCCATTTTTCGCAGTTTGGCACGTCACGTCACATCATTTTACCGAAGTCAGCCCTATAGCTTCGGCGCAGTGCCGATCACTGACGTTTGTCAACAAAATGGTGCTTGACTCTTGAGACAGGCTAAATTACACCATATTGTTAATGACATTGAGCATACATTTTTTTAAATACCTTCGCGAAGTAAAACTTCTGTACGTAGTACTTATTATTATTCTGTGGTATTACTAAAATAGGCGCGGGAAAGGTGCGAGTGGCACTCCCAAGGCCGGCTGAATTATAAACGAGCGGCACGGACGCATGCTTCAAACTGCATGTGTAATCAGGGAAATCAAACCGACTGCATATTATTTACCGATTTACCTTATTTGTGTTAAAATTCTTAATACTATAACAAAAAATATCTTTTTAAACATATAATGCCTTTACAGCGTGAAACTTTAACTGCAGTGCGAATTGCAAATTACCTGTACGGTCGGTCTATTCACTTTAATCACCCAGTTGATCAAAATGGACACCAGGCGAAATAAGTCCACTTTGATCTAATCCAGGTCATCAAAGTAGAATAGACCGTACTATAATAGCACAAGGTGATTACTCATTACAAGACACCCTGTATAGTACACAAAAATCCTGTTTTATTAACCTTAACTTGTGTTGTTTCAGACCGACGCCAGTGGCTGGCCATCCTGATCCTGATAGGTCTTCTAGTGGTTATTCTAATACTGTTCGTTATAATTTGAACACCTAACTCGTAAGGAACCCGTAGCTAAGTGTCCTGAGCCGCGCCACTCCGAGATGATGTACCCAACGCAATGTAGTTTATTTTGAGACTCGTAGCGTGAGGGTAGCGTTGAGAAAATACACGTTAACCCTTAAAAATATGTATGTATTGAAGTGAGGCATAGTGGGTTACCCTTTAATTTACGTCTTTAATTTTCTTTTGATCTCGTCCAAATTTTCCGTCATTAAAATGCAAGAAACCGTTACAAATACAAGCGGAAGAAAATCGTTATTTTCCTGGTTTCTCGAGGTTCTAGAAGCACGAGAGAAACAAGCGCAAGCTGATCGGCAAGTTTAAGAAGAGAAGTACTTGAGGAGGATTCAAAGAATTTATGATTCGGATGTCGGCTCACGGGCTAAACCTGGATGAGAGGCTTGCCATCTCGATGTACAAGTTTTATGCGGATCCTTCCCGCAAAGCGCATAAAGTCTGATTTGGCGAGGAAAGCAACCCACCGCAGATATGCAAATGGGCTTGGAGGACTCGACGATTCAGCAAGGCAAAGTGGATGGCCTAGGGCGATGGTAGAGGGCGCATAGTTACCATCGGCCAGACACATCATCTGACCTCTCTTCCAGTCGTAGCGGTTTTCCGTTCCACCGATTCGAGGAGAAGTCTCATATGCACTGATCACTGAGATCATGTATGCTGATGATTTGTGCTTTCTAGCAGAATCCTCAGAAGGCCTGCAACAGCTGATGTCCGTCTTTTACCAGGCATGCTGCAAGTTCGGCCTGAAGATAAGTGTCAAGAAGACAGAAGTGATGTCTTTGGACACAAATGACCACGAGTCTAAGCATTATGCTTGGTGGATAAGTTCCGATATCTGGGAGTACTATAACATCCAAGTGTGACCTTGATGCCGAGATCAGCAGCAGGATCAGTGCTGCAGCTGCAGCATTTGGGAAGCTGCGTTCCAAGGTTTTCTGCTCGCATGACCTAAAGCTGGCTACAAAATATTTAAACATGGCGGTTGTGCTGCCAAACCTACTGTACTCTTCCGAGGCGTGGTGCGTGTATCGCCACCATATACGCACACTGGATCGTTTCCACCTCAAATGCCTTCGCACCATCATGAAGATCAGATGGTCTGATCGAGTGCGCAATACCGAGGTGCTACGACGAGCCCATGTGGGTGGCATTGAGGCCTATATAATGCGTCGCCAACTTCGATGGTGTGGTCACGTATCACGTATGACGGAGGAGAGAGTGGCGAAGCGCATCTTCTACTCTGAACTTGAGGAGGGTAAGCGGAAACATGGCGGTCAACTCCTCAGGTACAAAGATGTACAGAAGCGGCACATGAAAAGATGCAACATTGAGCCCTCTCAGTGGGAAGGTTTGGCAGCACAGCGTCCAGAATGGCGGGAGATTGTGAAGAGGCAAGTCCACGAGTTCGAGGAGCAGCGTACGACCGAACTCGACGCGAAGCGCGATGACTTGAAGGCTCGTCCATCTGCCGCCATTCACTATAACTATGTTGGCGGCGTGCTCAGATGCCCTCAATGCGCGAGGGATTTTGCCGCGAAAATAGGCTACGTAAGCCATCTTCGGGCACACCAGCGCCGCCAAGACAGCTAGGAGTCGGAGTGGTCTCCATGGCCGAAATCGGTCGGATGGATCATCATCATCATCATCATCAGTGGGTTACCCAAATTAGATTTTATTGATAGGGCGACACGATGCACGACAAGCCATGCCCCACCAAGTCTTCGAGTCTTGCAGCTGTGCTATTTGTTTGTAACATAACAAATTACTTTTTTCCAAAAATTATTAGATGTGTTATCAAAACACCATGGTAGTCCATAAAAATTGCCAAAGTTTAGGTCTGAGTCTGAAGCAGCGCTAGGTGCTAGCTGGGGCACTAAATTGAACCCTTTCTTAATGATAACTGTGTCGTCACTTTTTTTATTAATAAAGAGTTGTGGCAACGACATCTCGGAGTGCGTACTGCGGTCTAAATATTTATTCTTGTATAAAACACTTCTCCATAGCGCGTAAACTTCGTAGACAATAGAACTGGAACGGTCTTCAATAGGTAATAGGTGTACGGTTTATTTATTAGTTTTTTGACTGTTGATTTTTGTTAGTCTGTGTTATCAATAAAAACTGTGCGGCGTTGTGGCGACTCGTGCGAGTAATCATAACATGTAATTACGCAAAGTTACGAGGGAGTGTCGAGTTCACGCCGCTGCATTGGTAAATGTAATAGACAGGCATAGAACCTGCGACGCCGCTTCCCGAGGGGCCCGCAGCCTCCAGTAATAGGCTGTGACTATGTTGTGATCGTTAGGACTGCTCGCCATTAGGGATCAATAGTGCAGTTTAAATATACCGAGTATCTTTACCAATCGACACTAACTTAAATGTACGAGTACCTTCTGGATTCCTCTTCTTGTATCGAATGGGTCGTAACAACTAAGGTCATGACAAACTTTGTGTTGAACTTCAAGGGCCGTCGTGACGTGGTTCATAGCATGCCTTCCTAACATACAATATTATGTCTTAGGTATAATCATTGATTTTATTAGAATGATTTATTCATAAAATTAGCCTAATAGAGTCTATTTTTTAATCCAAATCTGTAAAATGAATTTTGAACCTGTCACTTTGTTAAGCTAGCTGTTAGTTTTTTTTAGTATAATTAGCTGAATAAAATTAAAATGGGACTGTAATATTAAAATAGGACCCTATTTATATTCAGCAATAAAACTAATCACTAGTCATTCCTAAGAAGAAAATAGTACCGAGCCAAATAGCAACTGTGATTGGCCTAACACTGATAGTGTCACTGCAAAGTTATTTAAATTAATTACTATGACCATCTCTACACACATACTTTTAGGCTCTTATTATAGTTAAATAGTTTAAATACTTCATGGCTGAGGATAGAGGCCTAGACATCGCGCTCGATGTCCTGTAAATGATTAGCGATCTGAACTGACCTACTGACTTCAATGATTAGTAAAGCCTACGTTATATAAATAAATGTCAATTTATTTATTTGTCATATCTAGGCTTTATAGATAGCTTAAATTATTATTACCAATTAACTTTATTTATTAGTAAATAGTTGTTTTTTCTTCCTGTGATTGCTTCTCCATTGTTGTCTTAATATTTATGTACATTCGACAGCACATGAAAGCAGATAATATTATAGTAATAGCATCTATTGTAACCGTATGACGTCACAGTGTTTACCTTAATGTGCTGTCGACCGTACAATGTACCAAACGTATAACATGTAATACCTAGAATAAGTCGTAAACACGCAATATTATTTTTTATAGTTAAGATTATGTTTTATATGAAATGTATATTTCCAATGAGGGTTTTCGCGATTGAAAAATCCGCCAGATGGCAATACGTAGACGCGAGGTCCAAATGCTGCATGATTGGTGGATTTTGACATATCTGTCAATGTCATGTCACAAATAACCAATCATGCAGCATTTGGACCTCACGTCTACGTATTGCCATCTGGCGGATTTTTCAATCGCGAAAGCCCTCATTACATGCAAATCTGTGTGCACCAGGCGCCGCGGCGCCATCTACAATAGGCAGAGAGGCCATTGAAGGCGACGCTAATAGAATGTGGTCAACTAATCGGGATAAACTTTTGGGAAAGTGCTATTATATCTGCAAATGTTTATTTATTAGTACCTCTTGAAGCTATCTTGCTGCACTGAAACAGCAATTCTGACAGTAACCTATGTGTAAAAATAGTTTTGCAATGAAAAGCCACAATATTTTATGATAATTTGTTCACCTGTTATGTGGTTTCGCCTTGACACATTGTCTTGTTGAGAAAATTCCCAAATTCTGTTAGCGCCGACTTCTAAGTTGCGTATTTTAATAAATATGTATTAACAAGCAAACCTTAAAAAAAGAATGATTGTATAAAACAATAAATGAATATTTATAAATAATAATAACGTATAATAAGATAATTATGTCGCAGGACAGTGGATGGCCCGCGGTCGCCATATTTGTTGTTGTTTTGCAATCCATCTGGCCTCGAGTCGGATGCGCGACGTGTGAGCCTCGTATCCACTTGATCAGCCTCAGGCCGAGCAGCCTCTAGGGAGACTGAGGCTGCTCAAGCGGATACGAGGCTAGAGGCAGAGGGTCGAGGTACATTGCGAATCGAGGTGGCGCGACGCGATCCTCCAGTTTAGAGCAAAACTTCTTTAGCACCTGACGTGCGTATGCCGTCTCCACTGAGCGAACTAAAATCGACTAAATCTGGCTCGGTCCGCAACGACGAAATTTGGCGACGGGTCGTGCCTCAGGCTGAGGCAGCTCGACCCGAGGCCGGCTCTAGTGGAGAGGCTTAATAAATGTTAGTTAAAATTATACAACATTATCCAGTTTTGAAATGTTCAATAAAAGGTTAAAACCGGTGACATGTGTTTTTATTTTTACTATCAATAGTTTACATCCACATTTCTTCTTCTTTTAACTTTAAAATTTGCTGAATATTAATAAAATTGATTCAGGTTGCAAACGTTAAGTAGGTACATACCTAACTAGTAACTACGCTACGAGTAGGTAATATTATAAACTCGAAAGTTCGTGAGCGTATAGTACCTATTTATTGGATGTTTGTTAGGCACTCCTCGCACTGGACGGAGTTTCCTGAAACTTTGTTATTGCTTAGTTAAAAATCGGAATAGTGCATGTTGTAGGTAGTTATGATAGCAACGTAATTGTGTAAGAGTTAGTTGATAGTTTTGCTACTTTTTAATTCCTTATTTACTATCCAGAATGTTTACGTCGACATTGTAGGTAGATCTAAATATTCTAGAACGCTGAAAGAAGTGCTAACAACAAAAGGTACAGTCTGCTCTGTCTGCCGTAGCGTAGTCCAAATGGGTAACGAGCACGTCACTTCCGCACGTAGTTTACACCTCTGACAACAGATGGCGCTGTATGCCTGAAACCACTGAAACTACGCTACGATGTAAAATAATAAATTAATAGTTTATTTAAAAAACTAAAAACACGCTAAAGTGCTTGAAAAGACAAACCCAATGAACCCAAACTCTACAATTGCCAAGTTTCATGATGATACAAGAATTAGAAGTGAGTGTAATTCAGATTCTTATATTCCATTACATAGTTACATACCTACACGAAGACCTAATGAAAGCGTGTTAAAAAGGCTGCCTTTGCTATTACAGCCAATGTAGTCTTATCTTTACCGTTTTGAGGTGGGTGGCCGAAACTAACTGCTTTTAAATAAAGAGTCAGGGCCCTGAAAACCACCGGGTACATTAAAAAAAAAGCAGAAAGAAGACTAACAAGCACTAATACTTTTTCCTTGATACTTACTTCGATAACTTAGGAGAAAAATTGAAGATAGGTTTCAGCTGTCGAGTATTAATTCTGCAGAAAAATATTTTGTATTTTTTATAAATCTTTCATGATGTGATACACTCATGAACGTTCACGAATACTTATTGGCTAAAATACCCATTAACAATCGGTAAACCCAAATTTTCATCAAAACTGTTATCATGACTCTTCACTTTCCCGCGTCAAGAAGTCCTTCCGTATTGTGATTTCAGCCGGTACATTGACTGGTACTTCTACGAATCACGATGTGATGTTTGTAGAAACAACGTAATATTGTGTAATGCTTTTTGAAACTTTTATTTCTGTACAGTTAATGAGCAGTACCTACTTACCTACCTACAAGTAAAGTTACTAAACCATCTCAAAGCTTATGAATCCCAATCTCTCTGAATGGCTGTAAGAACTAAGAACACTGAAAATATCTTGTTCCTTTTTGTCCGGATAAAATATGCAAAGTGAGTGCCTAAGAACTCCGGCACTCAATGCCTCCGAGTCCCTGCCTCATTAGCCGGCATTACTGATAGTGAACACCACCGGAATTATACAAATATTTTTACTCTTAAAACTCATTGAAAAGCTATCAAAATTTAAAAGGTTTGCCGGGAAAATAATGATCGTTGCAAAATGAAGAGGAAAAGTTTATTTCATTGTCATGGACGCTTTCATAGATCGTTCAACGTTTGATTTACTTTGGTAAATTATGAACATACTTATCTGTCAGTAATTAAATGTTTAATATTTAATAAGTTTGATTTTTTTTTTCCAAATAAAGCGTTTTCTGTATGTTTAGAACTTTTCACGTTGAGTAGGCGTGCCTGAAAAAATCACGAGCAATAGAAAAAATAATGTGACATGCATATTGTATTCATCACACTTCGAAAGGTACAGTCGAGTAGTACCTACGCTAGGACCGATCCTAGCGTATCACTATACAAGCACGCACGCCTAATCATATTGGGGCCCGAGCCCCAAGTGCAACTGCAAACCAATTATCTATTTTACATTGGCCTTGGCCATCACCTCTGCCGCGACACTCCTGCGCACTGCATACAAATAAGGTCATTATTCAATAGAATGTCAATTGGTAAGTCTTCCTTGTTAGCACCCCGCATTGCAACAGTGTTGCATCAATTGCTAAACGTTTTCCTAGTAGTGCCTGATTGTTGTATCAATTGCTACTTAAACGTTTTCCTGGTCGTACCTGTGCTGTGTGGTGGTTGTGTTATTGATAGATCGCCCGGAGTCCTGCCAGCAGGACTTAAAGTACTTCCGGTAGGACGCAAAATTAAAAGATCACAGTTTCGTAAGTATACATTGTACAAATTTCAAATTTACACGAAAAAATAGAGTGTTTCTCTCTCTTTCACCCAATAGTGCCCAAGATCGAAAAACGCGACAAACCGTTAGTCGGAGCCCGATGGCGCACGAGTATACACGGGGGCAGCGCGTTCGCGCTCGCGCGACACATTTTGACGCGCCGGGCGTGGAGTCGGCAACATTTTGGCGATAATATTATAATGAATGTGAAGTATTCCAGCCTAATCAAACATTTATAATTTATTTCTTGTTTTTGTTTTTAATTTGTAGTGTATTTGTAAGTGATAGGTGTAATTTCTAATACAAAGTGACGTACCAAAGTAATTAATTTAAAGTTCCTTATTATAGTTCCTATTAGTTAAGTTGAAAGAAGATAAACAAGTTTATAATATATTAAGAAAAGTAAAATACTGGTTAAACAAAATGATTCTACGACATGACTTTTTATTTAATAAACACTAACCAAGTGTTTACTACTTCTGGTGAGGATGAGTTCAAATTTGAAGGTCACCGTACTGCTGGAAGGACCAGCAAGCAAACACGTACAAATTGCGTACTGCGGGCAGGACTTGCGATAATCTTCTGGCAGGACGTTTAGAACAAAAGACCAGTCCTTCCAGAAGAGCCTTCCAGCAGGACAAAGCACCGGGCGATCTATCATTATTGTACCCAACGACCATGTAATTCAGAAGCGACGATAGCCGAAACGGTGAAAGTGTCAAAATGGCTGACTCGTGATACGAGGAACGCGGTTCGATCCCCGCCGCTGCTTGACTATCTTGGTGAACAACCCACTCATAACAAGCATATTTAGCTTACCACGGGGGTTAACGGGGTTAAATTGCTAATATTCTTTAAAAAAAAAAAACTTTTTCACATGCTCAAACTGCGGTTCGCCGTGAACACGAGTTACATTAATAACATCATTTTACATGCGAGAGAAAAATTAAATTTCCATACAACGTGCATGCAGATCTAATTTTCTGCGTCAGTACATAATAATATCTTCGGCGCGAACCCTTTTATAGTTGGTTAGACGACATTTTATTATTCCCGGCAGACGGGCGAGCTGGAGCTCAGGTGAGCGAGCACTACGCCATCGCGCCACTTAGCCGCGGGGCTGCGGGCCGGGTAGCGTGAAAACATTTTCTAAGCTCTTTACTTAGAAATGGCCACCATTAATGTATGTAGGTATTATAATAAATTTAGTATGCTTTTATTCAGTCACAAAATCATCCATGCACCCTGCAGCTTCCATTATGGGTGCATCCACATTCTGGTGTAGGTACTTAGGTAGGTAAGTACAAGTGATTTTTGGTGACTGTGGCATTCAGTCATATTTCTATGTGGATGTTTTTTTTACATCCTTTCATTCGTTTTGCACTTCTGACGACTGATTTTAATTTATGATTGCCTTCCCCGGTGAAATAAGTAGGTATGCTAGAGTAAAAAAGCAAGAAATTGACAACACAAATTCCAAAGAAGCTCAGCATGTCTGTAGCCGCAACCTTAGGGAGGAATTATTATCGAGGAATACAATGTAATGCTGCGCTAATAATGCCTTCTACCGACGTGCTCCGATACAGCCGGGTTCCCAAGCTTTTTCCGCTTTTCTCTTTTGATGTATTTTTATCGTGATTTTTCTCGGCGACACTTATTAAGTAGCTATTTACTCTATATTATGGGTGTGTAAGATTCTCTTAACGGTGTCCACTGGCCAGCTGTGGTTATCTTGGTTATCTTGAACTTGGGATTTGATAATATAATTATTGACTATTCAAGAATCATACCAATTCTAATAAGATAAATTGTATTTTACTGAATCTTCGTTTGATCTCTATGATAATGCAATGCTGTTTCTCTTTCATACTTACGAGCACATTAATTATATGTATTATTATATTTCATAATTTTTATAGATTTACGATGTGACGATTCGTAACATTGAAGGTCGAGGCACACAACACTTTGGGAACAAACGTCCACAGCTAGAACCGTAAGAAAACACTAGAACTTTCTCGGAGGTCTGGGATTGAAATCCGATCATGTCAGCCGGGAGCAGAGTAAATATTTATTTTGCCGATGCCAAGAAATGCAAATACGACTGAAAATAAATATCACAATGTTGCTCAATATTGTTACAGTTTATATTTAGAAATACATAAAATCTTAGAAAATGCTTTGACAAAGTTTTTCAAACGGGTAAAAGCTAGCTGCATTTTGTCGGAGATTTTTCTTCTGTTACCTACTCGTAGGTACATGTTGACTTTCTTAGTTCTTTGTCTTTCTCATCTGCATAACCAGAAGATTATTCTGATCGTCATTTAGTAGGTAATAATATAGGTTTGCATGCAGAATATTTCTGATTGATAAATATTGTTTTCTGATCTCGATCGCTTTTCAACCGACTTCAAAAAAAGCAGGAGGTTCTCAATTCGACCCGTATGTTTTTTTTTCTATGTTTGTTACGCGATAACTCCGCCAATTATGAACCGATTTGAACAAATCTATTTTCGGCGTATAGGTAATACCTCAAGGGTGGTCCTATTTAAATTTAATAATAAAAAAACAACCCCTAAAGGTGGAAAATTGGGGATGAACTTTTTTATACGCAATATCTCCGCCGATTATAAACCAATTTGAACAATAATTTTTT